CCGCGGCCGCCTGTAGAGGCTCTTCTGGATCTTCTTGAGGCCCAGGTGGGCGATTTCTAGGATGTTGAGGAACAGGGAGACCGCGGCGATGCTGTTCATGAAAACCATAAAGATGGTCTTCTCTGTGGGTCGGGACACAAAACAATCCACCGTGTTAGGGCAAGGGGGCCGAGTGCATTTGTAAAGGGGGGACATGTGAAACCCATATAAAAGATACTGACCTATCATAAAGCCCACTTCGACCACCGACCGGGTCAGGATATGTAGGACATAGGTGCGCAGCAGGGACCCTCTCAGGGGTGCCTTATTCACTTTCTTCTGTTCCTCCAGCTTACGCAGTTCCCTCTCCACTTTCCTGTGTTCCTCGGGCATGGGTTCCAGATCTTCTAGCTGAGCCCGCAGGTGGGCTTTCCTCTTCTGTCGCTCTTTCTCAAGAGCCCTTAGTCTGTAGAGTGCATGGCCCATGTAAACTAGCGATGGAGAAGAGACAAATATGATCTGCAGGACCCAGTATCTGATCAAAGAGATGGGGAAGGCTTTGTCATAACAGATATTGCTGCAGCCCGGTTGCTCGGTGTTGCAGATGAACTCAGACTGCTCATCGTCCCAGACATCTTCGGCAGCCACTCCCAGCACCAGCATCCGAAATATGAACAGGATTGTGAGCCAGATTTTGCCAACTATGGTGGAGTGGATGTGCACCTCTTCAAGGATGCTGCCCAACAGGTTCCAGTCCCCCATGATCAGAAGTTCATATCTGAAATACAAAAAAATTATGGTATTTTAATGCAATACTGGATTCATTTTGGAAATGGCCTTCTTTAGTATTTTTTTTTTAAATAATGATGTTTCATATTCATTCTTCATAGTCATTCTTCTGATAGCAGGAGAGCTCTTAGAAGTTCATAATTATTTTCTACTTAGTAGGTCTTTAAATGAAGGCAGACTTTATGATTACTTTATGGTGAAAGTTGCAAAAGTGAGGTTATTTTAAACTGAAGAGAGATTGATTTCAGCTTTAAGCCACAGTACTTCTTAACTGCCTACAGTTTTACACTATTTTCTTCCCACTAGGAAAGAAGACAGTTTTTTTTTCACTTTGCAGATCCTTTGCCAACTATAGTTTAATTCTACACCCACTCCATTCCACTGTCTGTGGCTTTGCCACGGTTTGGGGTGAAAAACAAGTAGAATAATATATAACACTCAGGGCTTTCATTTGCTTGACAAGGTTTTGAGAAGAATCTTATAACCATGACAGAAAACCGGTTCATTTTGTACCCCAAGGGAGTAGCATTATTAGTGCCATCCATCCAATATTTTCCCATCTACCAGGGTAACAATCCACAAGTTTCTCCCTTGTATTCCTAAAACTACAAATACGTTAATAAATTAAGAGCGCTTCTAGGATTACTGTCTTTAATTTTATGCATTTAAAGTCTTACTGAATCACCAAGACTTTGTCTTAATTATAAATTTCAACATATAAGATAAATAAAAAAGGGATTACATAATGGAGTAATGTGGAGGTTTTTAGCTGTGAGTGTGAGATGATCTTTTTAACTACTTCTTTTCCAGAAGCTCTTTGATTCACCAGCAAATTGATCTACGTTCTGCTGCCAGACGCTTCATTTCCAAATCGCTTCTCTGGAAACTATTCAGGAGCTTCAGGTAACATGGGGAATTGAAATGTAAGGTATTTGCTTGTTTATTTGTGAATGCACCACACGTTTGGTGTCATGTCCCTGGAATTTTTTCTGCTAACGTGGTAATAAAATATAGAAAGCAACTGGGATCATATCTACCTTAGGGTTTGCACATAAATTTTTTATGCTACCGTACTTTCAAAACTTCCCAAATTCCACTAAACCACAACCTTTAGTGAAGTGTAGTTTCTAAGTTTTTTTAAGAGTGGCTGGTTGCAGTTCCCAAAATCTTACACAATTTTAATTGATAGCACAGCTGGGTGATATCACCATTATCAATATAGCTTGGTTATGGTTTATGATATGATCCCACATAGCGTGATTCTGCTTGGAGGCTGTATTTATTCAGATTGCAAGTAAAGATTTTCAGTTGCAACCAACAGTACAGTCATTCTCTGCGTAGGCATCCTACAGACTTTATTCTGAAAGGTTTTTCCTAGGTTGTTTTTTTTTTTTCTTCTGCAAATTTGAATCTACACAATGAACTTCCCTTTTGGCGTGGGGAACTCATTGAGGAAGCCTAGCTAGTCAAGCTATTTCTTAGGTGCTGTGATGCACCTGGAATACCTTCTTTCCCCACTCCTTCCCTCCCATACATGTCATTGAAATGAGATAAGTGAAAAAAAAGTCAGCAAAAATTATTGTAGTCTCTTTTTCTCATCTTTGAAGAACACAGAGCTTTCTTCTGACTTCATACAGATCTTTTTCAGAGCAGATATCGAATTGCTGCAACCTCGTAAGTTGGGTGGGTGTAAAGACATTTATATGTTGAAATGTTTACTAGAAAATATTACATCTCAAGTTAACAATGTTGGCTCTGCTTTTCCGAGCTTGGAAGTGCTAATACGGAATAGTTCACCTTCTGTAAAGTGAGAAGTAGAGATTTAGGTAGAGCAAGGTCCCAAACCCACAGTACTCAAGAGGCCAAGTATGAGTGGGTGACACTTGCTGATTGCTCGGTACCACTTCCCCTGAAAGGTGACCGAAGGATGGCAACGCAGCAGTTAAGCAAAGGAGCTTTGGGTATATTTGCTGCCTTGCAAACAGCTGGTCCCTCCCTGAAATTGATGGACTCCGCAAAAAAACCCCAACAAACCCCAACCCGAGTTAGATGCTCAAATGTCAACACAAGGTATAAAAGGGAAAGGAGACGTGTTTTAATCTCAAAGATGGAAAGAGAGCATTCCTCTAGCACTAGGAATTATCACCACCCATTTTGGAGCAGAAAGTGAATGTATCCATTCAGGGTAAGAGAGGACAAGAGGAGGAGTACAAACATATCACTCTGGCTCTTTAGATGTGCTTCTTCCTTAAGCTGTTCTACCAGTATTTCAAGAACTCTATCCTCATCTTTCCTTTATAACAGCCAACAGGGGAGAGTAAGTGTAGGAGTGGTGTAATTCCACTCTCTAACTGAGCTTATTTTACCGAGACATTTTCCCTCAAATCTGCACTGCTAGAACCGCAGTATGAATACTGACATGGTGAATGTTGCGTATAAAGCCAAGAAGTTAGTCTAGAGCCACGAAAGTCAGAGTTTCTAAGAAATCAGCCAAAACTACTTTACAATCTTGTCATAACAATGTGCTTCCAATTTTTCCATCTTTCCCTTCCCTGGTCTTATCTGAGCTCTATGCAATGGAGTATTTCATTTTGCTGTAAGAGCATAATCTCAAATATCAATGATATCATTATTTCCAGTCTACTAGTGTACTAGAAAATCTAGTATTCTAGTATACTAGTCTAGTATACTAGAAACATACCATTTTTAGTACAGATCGTACATACCTGAGACACTTCTCTTTATATCATCTGACTGCCTTTGAGTCTGGCCAAATATTTGTATACGGTTATTTCAAACAATAAAAATTCATGCATGTAATCAGTTAGAACCAGATGGAAATCCATCATTTCTCTTGGAGAAATTTCTTTCTTTCTTGGGGTTTTTTTTACTTCTTTAAAGTTCATTTGATCATTTGCCACTTCTCAAATCATTTCTATATTAAATTTATACCAGCTTTTCATCAGCTGTGATTTGAAAAAACAGAGCCAAATCTTAAATTTCTTGTAAAAAAAAGTTAAATGCTCAGATGCAAATATTCCTGGTTTTAATTTGCACGGCTTCGAGTCTCACATGGACCTGCCTGCTCCATACTGCCCTAGGAAGAATTATTTTTCTGCCGCTTACCTTAGAAGAAAGCCCTTGGTTAGTCTATCCTAGAGCATTGCAGAAGGAGCACGCAGCGCTGCTGATTGCTATAGGTCAGAAACCTTCCATCGACAGTGCCAGGACATCCCCAAAAGCCAAAGCATAGACGTGTATGCTGAGCAGACTTCCCGGTTCTTTGTAGCTGGATGCCAAGATCGCTCAGTCTAAACTATCTGTGCACAGTTTAAAAATCAGCAGATGATAGGATAGTGCCTCTAGCCAAAATTATCATGCAATTATTGCAGTCAGTGGCATCTAACAAAGCCATTCCCTCGAGGCTTGATCTGTAGGGCGATAGTTCACAACGCCCCTATGTCTTGTTTTAGTTGGTTCTTCAAACTTTACGCCTCCACCGAGCTCCCAAATTAAATTTTATTTTGTAAAGTGTTTAAATAGGCACCCTTTACAGTACGATAGATTCTTACATTTTCTTTACATTCCATTAGTTTCGCTTTGAATCAATGCCCAAGGATCGATCGGTCACGTCCGATTTCATACTCTGTTGCCTGCTGAGTTAATTTAGGATGCGTTAGACTGAGTCTTTGAAAATGGAGGCCACAGGAACTGAGACTCAAGTCTTCAGTTAGAAACACAGGCTTTCGGCACGGTAACCCTTCTGCAGCTGGGTTAGAGAGCCACCCCCAAGCCCATTCAGAATCGGTATCTGCGACAGACAAGGTTTAAAAAAGGGATTTTCACACAAGCTGCACTTGTCTGAGTACATCCGGAGACGTGTGTTAATATCCATCCAAACCACCCAGATCCCCATGGGCCTTTCCCATCCACATGCTCTCACGCTCTCTCTCAAGCCCACGCACTCTCATGTACCTGTCACTGGCATTTTATTTCCATGCCTCTTCTGACCAAATTTGGTTACAAAGTCCCTAAGGCTTTACCTTGCTGCTTCAGTTGTCTCAGAGCTTCGACTCAGGCCTGGGTGCCCTGTGCTGCCTCACCAGAAGATGGTGTTGACTTGATGTCTCCAGTGGCTTCCACAGCTTCTGGGTGTTTCTCAGGAGCACCCTCTTCAGCTCTGCTCACTGTGAAAACTTGAGAACTGCGGAAGAGCTGCAGCACAAAATATGTGTGTTGGATAGAAGCAGACCTATTCCTCAATAGCAAATCAGAGTGAGACTCTCCAAGGGCTGCCAGCTATACTCTTCCAATGAAAAGCCTTGGCTACAAAAAGGTCTTTCTCCTTTGTAATGCTCCACTCAATGCTAACCCAATGTTTCTAGAAAAAAAGGGGAAAGTTGTAGGTTCTAATTCATAAGTGGATTAAAAGTTTTATGTAGTTTGTGAAATTGTCCAATTTCTGATCTAGTCATGTCCACCAAGAAATAAGCAGTATTTATTCGGAGCAGTAATTGCATCAGAGCAGCAGCTGATTACTTCCATGTTTATTGGCCAGAACATCAACATTAGCTACTCATTTACACAAACTAACAGAAGTCAATTTTAATGCTGCTTCACAGCGTTTGTAGTTGTCGAGCCATTAGCCAACAGTTCTAGAAAATGTTTTCATTTACCTGAGGTTTCACAAATAAGACTGTAGATTTACATACAGTACATTTTGCATATATGTATCAAAATTCTTGTTGGAGAAATAAATTACAAACAATGGTACAAAATCACTCCAAGGCAACCTTTGTTCAACAAGAACATACGTGTGTGAATTTTACAGTTTTATTTTTTTGCATTACTCTTACAGTAACCAAACTATTTAGTTTATACAAAATAAACCTGGAGTTTTATATAGTTAAAAAAATCATCTTTGGCTAAACAAAGCTCTCTCTATTTTTACACATATATTTATATATATATAC